CTTGAATTAAAAGCAAGAATTTAAATTAAACACAGAACCTCACGATGACACAATTGAATCAAAAATCCCCCTTGAATCAGAAAAGAAAAGCTTAGCCGCTCATGGTTGTCGACTCCCTCTTGCTCTGCTTCCCAGATGGATGGACTGATCTTCTGAATTGATTGAGTCCTTGATTGATTGATTGATTAATGCCTAAATCTGGTCACCCCCCCTTTATATAGCTTTAGGAGGAGGGGCTCTCTCCAACTCCTCTTACGAGATTATCCTCAAAAATAAAAAGTCCTAATCAGTTTTGATCTAATCCTATCCTATCTCTTATCTAGTAGTCTCAATCTTTTTTATCTTTCTAGGATTACAACTGAAATTTAAATCTGATTGGACTCTTTATTCTTGAATTCGAGTTGGGCTTCTTTAATAATTTGGGCCGCTACAAGGCTTTTCTGCGAATTGGGCTTCAGCTGTGAGGTGGGTTTTTCTACGAATTTGCTTCGACTTCGGGCCCGATTTCAACCTTATTGCAGACTGAATATATCAAAATCCAAAGCATTAAAGTTTTTGAGTTCTTCCTTATCTTTTCAATGTATCTTGAATCATTCCAACGGAGTCCGGATGTGAGAGTTATGCCCAGATTACTGAACGGTGCCGAAACTATGCAAAATCGTCCGATTAGCCTTGTTTTCCTCCTGCCACCTTCTTGCTTGCCCTGAATCAAAATACAAGAGTAATGAGTCCAATTAAGTGCTAATTTAATGTAAAAGAATGAATATTTGGGGATAAAAATATGATATTTTTTATTCCCATCAGACCTTAAGGTGGGGTTTCATAGTACATGAAATGCCATGGTGTCATAATTTTAGTGGAAGATTTTACAACAAATTATTGCAAGGCTTCCTTCGATAGAATTGTATATTCAAATTGTTGGATTTTAATCTCATTAAAGATGAAATCCAATGGGTTTGATTGGTCAATTACATGAGAATTTTCACCTGCACACATGTTTTGAAAAATAGTCTTTCTCTTACTAAAACCAGTTTTAACTTGTCCCACATTGGAAAGTTATAAGATTTGTTTTGGGTTTTTTAATAGGAGTTGATTTACACTCCTTACATAGAGAGGAGAGTATGGAGGCTTGTTACCGTGCAATGTGTGTGTGCATGTGTGCGGCGCAATGAGGCACTTTAGAAGTGCACTTTGCTCGTGAAGGGCGGCTTTGGCTTTGGTGCTATGTTGACTGTTGATGTGATCAATGGCCACGATTCGATCAGGTGTGACCAAGAGGCATAATTCAAAGTTAACAGTCATTAACTGTTAACTACCTTTTGCAAAGAGCCTTTTCTGAACCAACACCTTTATGACTCTTCAAAGATTATTTAAAGAGTACAAATCAAGCATTTGTACACACACAACAATTTCGAAAATCACTTTCTCTCTCTCTCTCTCTCTCTCTCCGGTCTGCTACAGTCTCACAGAAGGTTTCTTCGGAGACTCTTCAACTTTGCTAGTTGCAGATTCTCGCCCAATGCTCTATTTTATCCTAGGAACAAATTTGCATATAACCCAATAACAAACTCAATGAAACTGAGTATGGGCAAATAACATTCTAAAGACAGTATCTTCAGATGTGCCTCAGAACTTCTCCTCCAAATTTCAATGACCCCATTTCCCAATACAAATTTTAACACCCACTTAAATAAACAACTACTGGGCTTTG